CCCCAAAACCCCAAAACCCCAAAACCCCAAAACCCCGTAGATAATAAAACTAAGTATTTTTGGGTTTATTGTTTTGTTTTTAAATTAATGAATAATATTAAATTTTAATCAATGGAAATGTCATTAGATTTGAGGCGTCTCACATAAACATAGTGAAATAAACTAGAATAATAGGCGAAATTATATGAACAAAGAATTTCACCATACTAGCTCCACTACAAACTTAGACATTATTAGAGCATTGCTGTGCAATAGTTTTCATAGGACTTGGTCCCCAACATCCAACAGTGTAAGGATGGAACATCGTTGTCACATAATAGTAAACACCTCCAATATCAACTCCATTGCATAAATCTACATCACATGGCTACCATAGCATTCCATCTCTTCTGTATGGTCCTAGAATAGAATGTCCGTCTCTTGCTACTCCAATTATCATAATTGTCTTTTCTTAAGGTGTCATAAAAGACAGAGAATATGCTAGTGGGTCTTACAAGCAAGCTTCATTATTTTTGCATGAAGTAAAGAAGTAGCTGTTTATTGGTCCTCTTGGTAGAATACAAGGTGACCATCCATAATAATGATAGTATCCTGAGAACTCCGAGCTTCCCAAACATGTATCAAGATTAATTTTCTTGGAACTATATAGTTTGCTTCCAAAACTTTTAGGATAGTATACATCAGATCCATACTCAGAGTTTCCTGTGTGAATGGGGACACCATTAAGAGCGATTCCTACTATACCATCTAAATAGCCAGAATATTCAATATAATCAGGGTAAAGCGAAGTAATAAATCCAGTCTAAGTCCATGCATCGTCACAGAGAGCCATGTTCACACTAAGTTGATTATCACCATTGTACAATGTCATTGTGATCTCTTCATCTGTATCTTCCAGCACTCTGTCACTACCTTCAAGCTCTCTGTCACTACCTTCAAGCACTCTGTTTCTTTTTAAGTTTTTTCTTGGTTTATTCTTGAATCTAATTTCAAAGTCAATTTAATTTTCTCTAGGAGTACTTTGTTAACCAGATTCAAAACAATGATTGGGTAGTCCATTTGATACCATTCTGAGTCTTGCGCTAATGCCCGATTATAGATCTCTGCCATTTGAGTTTTAAGAATCAACAGTGCATTTAGTTGTGATCTTTTTGACCCATACACATGGTGGAATTGAGCCATTAGGACAAGATGTCATGCCTTTACATGTTATCTACTCGCCTTCACTTTCGAATGCACTTAACACTTCTTTACATTATTTAACTACAGCAGGCTCAGGTGTGGTTGTAACTGTAGTAAATGTTGTTGTGATTGTTGTTGATTACTGAGTGGGAGCTGGCCAAATAGTAGTCTATAATAATAATAATTAGTTAAAGAAATTTAAAACTGATGCAAGTTACTGTAGGGGCACTTGTTGTTGTCACAGTTGTTGATGCAGCTATGGTTGTTGTAGCAGCTTAAGTTGTTGATGATGCAACCGTGGTAGCTGTAGCAGTTGTGGACTCGGTGGTAGGGGCACTTGTTGTTGTCTCAGTTGTTGATTCTTCTAAGTTTCTTAGTTATTAAACTGTCTAATGCTGTGCTGGCAGTTTTTATTAATTGATCTCATCTTAGTTGTAACAGAAGAATTTGGCTGATTAATCTACTGAGTTAATATTGAGAACACATGAGTATCCATCCTCAATTTGGCAATATTTATCACATCTATATTTATTGAATTAGTTATCTTATTGGTACTTACCCATCACCAACAATACTATTTTGATCTAAGCATTAAAACCCATATCTGCTGCATCCCTTAAAGCAGATGGATTTCTTTCCTTATTCTTGAGAGCAGGTCCAACCTTATTTTACTTTGCACTAATCATTACATCTTATAATAATATGATTAAAATTAAGATGAAGAAAAGATATAAAATACCCTGAATATTAATGCTCATTTTTATCAATTAAGCCATCATCACACTCCTCACCTATTCCAAGTATTCCATCTTTTTTGTCGCAACTTTATGAGCTGATGGGTGTTACTTTGATTTTTTCTTATTTTTACTATGTTTTAATAAAATGAGTTAGGTTATGAAATTAAGGTTACATTTATTTCAAGGTAGTACTATCTCTTGAAGCATTTAAAAATAGAACTATCAGATATACAATAGTAATCATTTTCAACTTGACATTAAGAATCACAACTATCATCATATAAAATTTAATAATGCATACCCGCTTCCAGAATAGACTACTTATGGTTATGGATTCTTGTTATTATCGTAGCATTAGTTAGTTACAGAGTTGAAGCATGACTTTGTAATTATAGCCTACTCTCCCATTAAATTTTAATGGTAGCCTTCTCGAATTTAACAATTCTGATCACACCTATAATGATAAGATAAAAGTACACTACATTTAAAATGAATCTTATTATCCATCATCGCACTACTCCCCCAACTCGATTTTACCATTTTTGCAGATAGAATTGGCAATCAAATTGTAAGAGTTTGGTAATAGTTTATTCTAGACAATGGATCTCTGATCTTAATTGTAATATTAAGAAATTGGTTGAGATTTCTTATTTATAAAGCTTTTTGTCCCTATTTATTAGTTAATATAAACTCTGAAAATACCTAATTGTGAGGAATCTTTGTTCTAGCATTTAAAGTAGTACTAGATCTAATTTTCATGGATCTCAAGATTGCACTTCATTCCATTTTCTACTCTGCAATATTTGTCGCATCTTTGATAAAATTAAAGTATAAAAATTACCCATCATTATCTATTTTATTTTAATCAAGGCACTGAGAGCTTCCAAGTGCACAATTCGGATAACAAATAGATTTCTTTCCAAATTGAGTATGGCAAGTAAATCCCTCTTTAATTCTGCATTAAGAATCACAACTAATTAGAATAAAATTATTGTTTAATTGTTTTACCCCCCTTAATGAGTCTAGTCTCCATCATCGCATTCTTCATAGTAAGCCATATTGCTGTCTTTTATGCATTCATTGAATTCAGTGTTCTAATTCAACTGGTTTTCTGAAGTCTTTGCCTAAAGATGCTTAATAAATTAAATGCAAATACTCTTCTTTAATAGCACTTGAATTATTTCTCATTATTTGAATGAATGCAATAGTAATTTTCTTCAGTTACGCATTAGCTATCGCAACTATATTAATATGGTAAGTTGAAATGAGCCCCGAAATTATTTGCAATAAAATTAAATCTTACCCATCTCCTGAAATCTTATTCAAATCCTAACATAATTTTTCGCTTTTAAGGCAAGACTACTATATTATTTAATCATTGTTCTCATTCAGTGTCAATGAATACCCATTTTCAATTTAACAAAGGGTATCACAGCTTAATTGATTATTTATGATAAAATAGTTACCCATCATTAGTATTACGATTCTAATCATCGCACTCTTCTCCTCTTTCTATCAATCCGTTGCCACAAATGGGTGGCATTGCCTGCTAATTAGAGAATGAGTATATTCTTGTACAGATTGCCTTCTCAATTCCATTTTTAATACAAGTAAATCCTTATTCTACCTCGCAAAACTCATTACAGCTATACAATATATAAATATTGGTTCAAAATCTTATTAAATGAAGCAGAATATAATTCAATTTTAAACATTTACCCATCTCCAGAAAGATTGTTTCCGTCATCACAAGCAAGGCTTTGCTAACCGCAGTACAAAGTGCATTACGATTATTTCCCTAAGGTCTTTGTGCATTAATACCCATCTTGAATTCGGCAAAAATTATCACAGCTATAAAAAGGTAAGAGGCTTAAGTCAATAATTGATTAATACCCTTGATTTTGAGTAGATTCGGCTCTCCAGTTATCACACTCCTCTCCAAGCTCTAATATTCCATTTGGATTGCATAAATTTCAACCAGCTATCAAGTAAGTATTTCCCAAAAATAGAAGAATTGATATTCTTGATTTGAGCAGGAGTTTGCTAGATGTTTACATAAAAATTTTAATTTTATGAGCTAGCTTGATATATAAAGTATTAAAAGTAAATGATTAATTATTAAGAAACTTTAATGGGACTTTTGTTAATTATGGCAAATATTTATAAATTTAAACTAAATGAAATAATTGTATAGATTAATTTTCACATACATATCAATTATTCATTCTCAAATATATTCGCTTTCAATGATGGATGGGGTTTTGGGGTTTTGGGGTTTTGGGG